TTTACATGAACACTGTGAGGGGGAGGGGAGACTGGGGATTGTGTGGAAGAGCAAGGTCAACAGAAGAATCTAAGCATCACTTTTTAAAGAAAGACGATTTGTTCTTTTAAAGTCAAATAAGGGGAAGACGGCGCCCAGGAAGCAGGGCAGCGCTCTTTACTTGGTCCAGCTCTAAAGCATCTCCGTTTTTACAGAGCACAGCCTTTCAGGGAAAATTATCCGAAGCCTTCCGCAGCTCAGGCCTCATCCTCTCAGAAATAAACACTGCCTTGACGAGCTTCGAACAAGAGAAATACACAGAAGGACAGTGCCGACCCTGGGAAAGCCCGCCTCCTGTCTCTGCCTTCTGAGTGAGTGCTGGGACACACCACCCCCACTTCCGGCAGCTTAGTTTGTGAGAGCCTGTTACTGCTCAACCATTTGCTTATTTATTTGTTTGTTTATTATGTAGATTAATGTTTTGCCTGTGTATATGTCTGTATGACGATGTCAGATCCCCTGGAACTGGAGTCAAAGACAGTTACAAGACTGGGACTTGAACCTAGGTCCTCTGGAAGAGCAGCCAGTGCTCTCAACCACTGAGCTGTCTCTCCAGCCCCTGTTCAGCCTACTTTAAAAGCCAAGTGCCAGGAATTTGCACGATAGATTAGCGGCAGTGGCTGCCAAGCCTGGTGCCCTGAGTTCAGGTCTCTCAGGGGCAGGGCACCATCAATTCTCCTGCTCCTGGCTCCCTTCAGTTCCACAACAAAGGTACAGCAGCTTCCAGAAGGGAAACAGGGAGACTGTGTCTGATACCAGTCAAGGACAGGGCAGACCCTGGCACAAACAGAAACTAGGCCAGGCACATTTCTGGGGCCCTGGCCTTTTTCTTTTCAAATGCACAAGCCTGTTAACTTTTCTGGTGAACTCAACTTCTTGGAGATAGTCAGGGAAAGAGGTTCCATTCATGTCAGGACACCCACTTCCATTCTCAGGGCAATCTAGGCTTTTGAAAGAAAGGCAGAGGAGGATGGGGATGAGACAGGGTGAACAGGCAGGGCAAGGGAGGATGAGAAAAGGTAGGAAGAAGACAGGGTAAAGGTCATGCAGAGAAGTTGCCTTAGAGAAAGCAGCAGCTACAGAAAATAAAACCAAGTCACGTCATCCCTTAATAAGTCCCCGCTTTCCCTGGTGTGGTGGTGAATGTTTATCATCCCAGCCCCTGCGGAGCTGAGGCAGGAGGATCAGAGTTCAAAATCATCCTTAGGTGCATAGGGAGTTCAAAATCAGTCTGAACTGCCTGAGACCCTGTCTCAGAAAAACAAAAATCCAACCAGTCAGTCAGTCAGTCAGTCAGTCA